TAGTTCTGCCTTAGGCATGAAAGCCAGCAGGGTGACTTTGGACCAATTATCAGGAGACGGGGAGTTCTAGTACCAGGCGGGAAAGCCGGCTGGGTGACTTTGAGCTAATCCCCAGGACACAGTGAGTTTCAATCCCTGCCTTAAGCCGGCTGCCTGATTTGGGGCCCATCACCGGGAGACGGTGAGCTCTAGTCTAGATGGTGATTGACTGCGTCCCATTGCGATTCTCTTCCTGGGAAAAGCGCAGTGGGGCAGCCGCCTGTTCAGAGGACGTCGTGAAGTATTTATAGCTCCATTGTTTATGATGCAAAGAAATGTGACAAACTGCAGGAGAGCAGCGAAGAAACACATTCGAGGCAGGGGAAAAAGAGGAGGCGCTGGAAGACAACCAATCTTCACACAGCTGTTAAACCCTCTCCTGCTCACACAAGGGCCACACGTCACGAGAAAGGCCTAGCTTCACGCCACCTTGGCTTCGGTTTCCTGGCATTATCCCTTTTCTGCACACTGCCAAGTATTCTCAGATCCCAGCAAATTGGCCTCCTCCTCCTCCTCCTCCTCCTCCTCCTCCTCCTCCTCCTGCTTCTCGATAGGTTTGGAGAATCTAGCACAGCGGTTGGCATGTTGGCAGCGCCAATAATCCCGTTTAAAAATATCCCTACGCCTCCTTCAGATCCCAGTTGGCCGTTTTGTGTAGCTGTTAGTTATTCCACACGCCTCGGCTGTATCTGAACAGGCTTTTAAGTGAGGTCAGCATCCCAAGTGGTGGGGATTTATCAGATATTTCTCTCTCTCTCTCTCTCCTTTCTAGATTGTCTTTCTGCTTGGTTCGTTCCATCTGTCACCGGGTGACTGTTCGCTCACTGTGGGGCAAGCTATAAACCGAGCAGCTGCGTGTTCTTTCCTGGCAGCTAATATATTACGAGCTAGTTAAAGACCGTGTGACATTATTTAGAGGAGGCCTTCCGCCTGGACGCTATCTGGAGCGCGGGGGCGGGGGCGGGAGGAGGAGAGATTAGGAAAAGTGGATTCAGGAGGGCACTTCCCCAAATTGGCACCCTCCAGATGGGTGTGAATTGCAGGCCACTTGGACTGAGGATGGACATTGCCCAACTGGGAAGAGACTGGGGTGGGGAAGCAGGTCGGTCCTTGACTTACGACCACAAGGGAGCCTAAACATTTCTGCTGCTACACGAGACATGTGTTAAGTGGGCTTAGCTCCATTTTATGACATTTCTTGCCCTATTTTTCATGAGTCCCTGCAGTTGTTAAGTTAGCGACTGTCGTAAATGTGTGAGTCAGTTGCCAAGCATCCAAATGTTTTTTTTTTTAATTTAAAAAAAATATGTTATTGAACAAAACAATTAAAAACATTGAACGTAGTGAAGTCAGTTTGACGTAACATTTGCTCAGTATCATATAGATATATATTTTCCTAAATATAATTATTCAAATATATACATATATACATTTCTTCGCTCATATTACATTTTCCAACATCATTGGTCCTATTTTCATCTCATACATTCATTTGAATTGAATTGAATTCTTTATTGTCATTGTATGTATAAAGACAGTATACATACAACGAAATTCACATAACACCCAGAGACCAGACTCAACATGCACACACATATGACAACACCCACCCACCCACCCTAATTCCCCGCCTCCTAAAAACACACGAGCCTCCACACAACAGAGCAGCTCACTGATGGTGGTCCTTAAGTTCATTGTTAAGTGCCACTATAGCTCTGGGATAAAAACTGTTCAGGAAACTCGTGTGGTCCGAGTTTTAATTGTTCTGTATCTGTTCCTGACAGAAGGCAACAGCTTCAGAAAGATTGTGAGCAGGATGGGAAGAGTCGCTGAGAATGTTGTGCGACTTCCTCAAACAGCGAGAGGCGAAGGTGTCGTCCAGGGCTGGTAGCTGGAGCCCGATGATATTCTGGGCAGTCTGAATGATTCTCTGTAGAGCCTTTTTTTTCGCCCCACAACTGCTCCCATCCCATGCAAGGATGCCGTATGTCAGGACACTCTCAGTGGTGCTGCGGAAGTAGGACAGAAGGAGGCGCTTAGATGGAGTTATCTCCCTGAGCCTTTTCAAGATGTGCAGCCTCTTCTGTGCCTTCTTCACAAGCACCTTTGCATTCATAGTCCTCCGAGACAGAAGTGCCCAGGAATTTAAAACCACCCACCCTCTTCACCTCCTCACCGTTTATGTACCGCGGTAAATGTACATCTCTCTTCCTCCAGAAGTCAATTATAAGTTCTTTAGGGGTTTTTTTGGTGTTAAGTGTAAGGTTATTTTCTTTACCCCACAGTGTCAGCCCTTGTGCTTCCTTTCTATAAGCAGACTCGTTGTCCTTATTAATGAGACCTTCCTCTCTGCTCCCACCAGTGATAAAATCGACCCCAAATTTCATAATATGAAATTTTGTCCATTTCAGCGCATATCAGGATTTTGTTTATTACTTCGCCTTTGCTCGGTATGTCTGCCTCTTTCCAGTTCTGGGCAAAGGCTGTCCTTGCCGCACTAATAATAGGTATAATCCAATATAGCTCATCCTTATTGTATTTTTTGGACATGATTCCTAATAGAAAGCATTCTGGCACATGATCGAATTTAAAACGCAACATTTCCTCCAACCAGTTCCCTGTCTCCAAGCGTCCAGATTTTGATCACGTGACCATGGGCGAGTGCTGCAAAGGGCCGTAAGTGTGAAAAACGGTCCTGAGTCTCTTTTTCCAGTGCTGTTGTGACTTCAGAGGGTCACTAAATGAACCATTGTAAGTCAAGGACTACCTGTATTTAGTTTCTTTCTCAGCTGATTAGAGAGCCCTGCACATTTGAAAGCACTGAATTCTTTTTAAAAAAAGAATTAAGCTGCCTTGTCAATCCTAGCAGGTGAGCTACATTTCGACTTAATGTTCTTTTAGTGGCGGTTCAAAGGTACAGCGCCACTGAAAAAAAGGGGACTTAGGACCAGTTTTCGCCCTTCACGTGTTCAAAATTCGGGTGTTTGGCCACTATCTCACACTTATGATGCTCCCGGTGTCCTGGGGGGGTCACGCAGTCCCCCTTTTGCGACCTTGTGAGAATTGGGGGGAAGCTGGATTAGATTAAACAGCTGTGGGACTAACTCGTCAACTGAGAGGATTCCCATAACAAACGTGGTGAAAAAAGTTGCAAAAAGGGCTAGAAACAGTAATGAGCTAGAAAATATGAAATATAGGTGATTAAAGTAAATGATAACTGGTAATGTTAGGCAATGGAGTATTTGTTAATAATTAAATAAAGAGAGAAAGGGAACAAAAATAGGAAAGGATGGAAATATTTGAATTGTTCTTAACAATTTATAAAATTTAATTGAAAAGAAATGCAAAAGATTGAAATTAATATTGTTGGTCTGAATTGGAATAGAACGATTATTTTATTTGCTATTGTTACATGTTTTTTCTTTTTTCAGAATTTAGTGTGTATTTTTAAGGGAACGTACCAAGCAGAATTTCGGTTGATAAGAATTATATGACATAAAATAGACGTTAGAAACTAATTTGTAAAGGCATAAATTAAATTTTCAATGAGATTTGAATGGATAATAATTAAAAGATACAAAGGTGTTATACTCTAGTTAGTAATTACAGGGGAAAACGTGCTTTTTAATCCCTGGAAGGGGAGGGAATTGTTTTCCTTTCCTTTCCGGGATGATGATGAGAAAAGAAAATATGAAATTGTAAACAGGACAGACAAAAGTATAAGTATAATGATTAGAAAGATACTGAAACTTAGAAAAAGATATGTAATTGAATTTGGAAAGGAATGAGATAATTAAAAATAAGGTTGAAGAAAGTAAGGGAAGGGAAAAATTACTGGGGAAATGATAAAATAGTTACAAGATATGGAACGGAATATAAAGACGAATATGTAATTGAGTTTATGTCTGTATGGAGAAGTGATAACCTGGAAACCTGCTGTTCTCAAAAAGATAGTTTATTTGTATTATGTTTTGCGAAAACCCAAATAAAATTTTTACCTACCCCCCCCCAAAAAAAGTCGCAGAAAGGGGGACAAAATTCACTTAACGAATTTCTCACTTAGCGAGAGAAACGTTGGGCTTAAAATGGTGGCCGTAACCCAAGGACTTCCTGTATGCTGAATTGGTCCCACGAGCAACGAATGAGTAAACACCAGGTGTACAGAGGCCGCTTCTCTTGGCTGGTGCAGGCTTCCTAACCGCTCCGCCCCTCACAAGGGTGTGGAAGATGAGCAGAGTAGGCACACCCCTCCCTTAGGGCATTGGGGGGGGTTGGACTAGAAGACCTCCAAGGTCCCTTCCAGCCCTAGGACTCTATGGCACCCCTTCCCCCTGGCACCCCCGTTTTCCGCCCCTGCTTTTTACGCTTTGCCCTTTCCTCCCCCTTCCAGGGAGGCAGACGAGGGGTGCAAGAAGCCCTTGGAGCGGCTGCTGAACATCTGGCAGGAGAGGAGCGTCTATGGCGGGGAGTTCATACAGCAGCTGAAACTGTCCATGGAGGACTCCAATAGCCCCCAACCCAAAGGTAGGTCAAGCGTCCATCAGGGCGGCCTGATCCACCCAACGACGGGACGGAGCATAACTGCTTCCGCCTTTCAGCCCCAATCCAGGAGGCTTCACAGGCAGGCGCTGCTTCCGCGACAAACTATTTTTTGTGTGTGTTGAATTTAAATTTACCGACCAAGAAATAAAGGGAGACTAATATATAGATCTATTTCAAGCTTTGGAGCTCTTGTCAGCTAATCCCAGAAAAGGGTGTGGCTACTTTCTTCCCCAAACCTCCCAAAACTTTAACCTTAGACTGTCCACTGTAGACCTCACCCCATTCCTAAGAGGTCTGCAAGGGGCGCCCATAAGTGTGCCCATAAGTGTGCCCATAAGTGTGCCCACCGTCCCTGTCCTAATGTTCCTTTTTATTCGTACTTCTTTCTGTATTCTTACTCATGTTTATACTTACATCAGTCACCTAATACAGGCTCGACAAATCAAATAAAGAAACAAAATAAAAATAAACAGCTGACGAGAGCTCAAGAGCTTGAAACAGATCTATATTTCTCTCCGTTTCTTTGTCGGTAAAACATGCGTTCAACCCAGTCCTGCGCTCGTTTTCCAGATTTGCAGGGCGTCCTCGACTGACAACAGCTCGTTTAGTGACTGAAGCTGCAACGACACTGAAAGAAAGCCACCTGCGGCCCCTTTCCACACTGACTTTTGTTTGATACACAAGTGACTCAGGAACCATTTTTCACACTTAAACATGAACCAGCGGCCAAGCTTCTGAATTCTGATGCTGGAGACGCCGCAAAGATGGGAACTGTGAAAAACGGGTCCTCGGTCACATGTTTTTCAGTGCCGTCGTGAACTTTGAGCGTTCGCTAAATGAACTTTTGTAAGTCGAGGAGCTACTTGTCTATGCCATCTTGGATGGGTTTCTGGGTCCCGAGAGGCAGGAACGAAGACTTGCCATCATGGCTGTTGAGGTAATTCCCCGTTAGGAGAATGAGCGCATATGAGAGAGAGACGTATTTGAGAGAAGTGTTGGAATAATACACACACAGCACACAGATACACTGTACAGTAAATGGAGGTTTTTACTTCCAGAAAGGTTTAAGCAAAGTCCAAAATAAGCAATCCAAAGTCATTCAC